CTCCTTTAAATTTAACATTTCATATAATTGGCATTTGTATTCCCCCAGGCTTCCAAATCATGGCTCTTTACTGGTACTGTCAACTTTCTACATGCACACACACACACATGCACTCACACTCAAATTGACACTAACTTCAACTGTGCATTTTATAATGTGCTCACAAAACCACAAAGGAATAAAGGGGTATCTGACTTTGGACTCTGTCCAGTAGATTCAAAAGAAGCAAAAGAATCCCAAAAAATGTTACAATTTTTTCTGTATCACATTTTCCCTTATTATCTCATGCAATTATACAACAGTAACTTAGTGCCAAGATTATTAGATCAAACTTTCATAATCTATTAAACTAAACTAAGAAGTTTAATGAACGAGACTCCTCATAAAACAACTGCAGGATTAGCCTATGTTAAAATAAGTAACATAATAATTACAGGAACATATGTAACCAACAGGAAGTCTCCAGTTCAAGGTTTAAGTGCATTTTATTGGATAAATGCTAAAAGAACTTTTTGAGCAGTTAATTGATTTAATGTAGAAATTAATTTCTCCTATGTGACATCTATAGCATGATCCCCCCACCCCCGTGCATGCTGCATCATCTCTCTCATACTACATTCTAACTGAAATCATTTTGGATCTGCCAAAAGGGAAAAGGACGTGCAGTTGGAGGGAGGGTTGCAACACAACCATATTTTTGTGTGACCTCGATCTCATTCTTCATTGAGTAGCATAAGCAGAGTCCTGGGAATGACGACAGACAGAAGCAAATCTAATTGGGTAGAGGGCACCTCACTGACATGAGGGGAGTGATCACAGCAGAGATTGGCAGCTGAGACCAGAGATCTCAGCAGCAGAGATCTCACTGTAACATGCACTACACAGTTGGAAGGTGACCTAACCACATCACCATATACCTGCTCTGGATCTACAAATGATACAAACACGAGCTGCAAACAACAGAACATATATTTTTTAGTGGGAGAAGTTAACAGGCAGCTACAACTCCTGCTGATTCCAAAGCATTTTCATTTTCTCTGAGTCAGAATATACCCCGTGTTCCCCAACCTTCAACTTCTTTTGAAGAATTAGTTCTTCTATCAGGGGTCCTTGCCGTCTAGCAGGAGGCACAGCCTTACAATTAGCTGTGGGTGTAGCGGATAGGCAGCACAGTAAATCTGTTCTGCTACTGACATGGAGATAGCCTAGAACAGCTAGACAAAGGGACTTTTCACAGAAGCAACACACAGTTTAAGATCCTTGGATAGTAGAGCTAATAATTATCTATCATTATAATAATTATATAAACTTCTACTCATATCTGAGAGACTTGTGGAGATCTTCCAGATGGGAGTGAAGAATCATGGAGTTTCCTGAAACAATTACAGGCAGTCCTCAGACTTACGACACAATTGGTTCCTGAAAAATGTGTCTTAAGTCAAAAAGTTGTAACTCGGAACCAATTTGCTCATAAGAAACAATGTTACAAATGGGAATTGGTTCCTGAACCAAGGCCCAATACCCTATTTTCACAAAAAATACCCCAGAATTTTGTACTCAATCAATTATAGATGAGTAATATAGCTACATTAATATATTTATATTGTAAATAGCAATCATATTGATTTGGAAGGACTTCTTTGAGGTGACTTTGCTGGACTTTTTGAAGGGCTTTTGGTTGGACTTTTTGAAGAGTTCTTGGCTGGGCTCTTCTCAGAAGTCTTGGCTGCAGGTTTTTCTGTAGTCTTGTCTGCTTAAAGAAAGTGTCCAAGGAAGTTTGCACAAATGTTCTTCAGAGAGATGGGCAACACAGTGAACTTGTTTGCTGGCATGGCATCACATTGGATCAAGCCTTGTAAAGTCAAAACTGATATCAGAAAGTTGAAACGGTGTCAATTTATAAATGTTGTTAAGTGCAAAAACATTGTAACTTGAAACGTTGTAAGTCGAGGACTGCCTGTACTGAGCGTGTATAGCCACATATCACCAAAATAACTAGGGTCCCACTGGGACATCTCAAGTATGTTGGTGACCATGGAGATTGGCTAAGAATGTAGGAACATGGAAACAAGGGTATTTGCTGTTAGTCTGATACTCTGTTGTTTTAAGAAACCTTTGTGTACCCTCCAAAAGAAACTTCATTCCCTTCTGCTTTGCAGTAGGAGTTCTTCCTATGCCCCTTTGGACTGGTTCATTGGCTCCTCAGAGCATGGAGCTTTTGTACTTGCTGTTGTTGTCAGAAAGATATTGTTACCTAGGATCTGCAGCCTCATGAAAGCTGGAGTCAATGGTGGAGGAGGGGGGGTAAGGCAAAAGACCTCTGATCCTGCTGCCACTGACCAGAAAACAATGGCCCAAATTGAACTCCCCTTCAGGAAAGTAAGTCGAGGAGTAGTTTCAAATGTCCTCTGGCTGAGGATAACTAGAACCAAGTGCCCCCTATACACTAGGCAATGAAGCTAGAAGGTGTAAGCTCCCTTTTTTGCAATGGAGTTAGACACCTTTCAGGAGGAGAAGGGGTCATGGGCTCAAATCTAGAAGTGGCCCATAGGTAGCTCAGACTTTCCCCATAAGTGCTTCTAGTCTGTCTAAAGGTGAAGTTGAATTTGAGCTAATGTGAATAAGGTGAAAGACATCCAGGACCTCTGAAGCCCAGAAGTAAGTAACAGCAGGGTGTCTACAAGTGCTATTAAGGTGAAGCAATAAACTCTGGTATGTATCTCACCGGAGTTTATTGCTCCTGGGCACCACATTTATACATGTGCCTGGGACCACAGCAAGTTGAGCTGGGTTGGAACAACTCCACCTAGCAGGGGGCCCAGGAGGTCAGTCTGCAAGCCCAGGGTTGCTCTGCCACAGCTGAATGTCCTGCAAAGGGGCAGAGCTAGCCAGCAGACAGCCCCCACACTGAAGCACCCTCATCTCCGAGCCAGTTCTTTCAGTGTCTACATATGCATTGCTGTGGAGTAAAGAACTCTGCTGCAGGATAGTACTTGTATTTACAAAATACAAGTACTATCTTGTGGGGGAGTTAATTAGTTCAATCAATCCTAATAGCACCACATGTGTAGACAGTGACATTTTACTGCAGAGCTAATTAGGCAGCTCTGCAGTAAACATCTCATGTAGATTCACCCAGCAAGTAGAATACTAATTGTGATTCTGATTTTGTCCTACAATATTTAGGTACTGCAAATTGGGTCTTCACCCCTTCCTCCTTTTCTTGAATCCTTTTCTATTAGACTCGTACTTTGTCCTTCATGCTGATCTCCATCCCACACTCCCTCCTCCATCCCACACTCCCTCCTACTTTTGCGGATTTGCTTCATATTTTGATTTGGTTCTAGCTGACTCCAGATATTGCTTGTGAGACACAAATAATAATCCACTGAACTGCAACCCTTTCCAGTAGCACATGATATCACTTGGAGAATAAGTCTAATGCTATTTCAAGCAAAGCATGCAATTTTCTTCCAATCCACATATTCATTGGCTTAATTTGTTTTCTCTCCATGGCTTTTCTTTTCTTCATCATTAATTTACTGAAAAAGTCAAGACTAATTTAGAATACTGAAAAAGCCACAGAAAGATTGTGTGTTACCTCTTAAGGAACACGATGTAAAATAGCTTTAAATGCATTACTTTTTTTACCATATTTTTCTGGTGTGGTGAGGAATAAAGTGGGACAAAGACAACTTGTAAAATATAATAAAAACCTTTCCACTAACTGGGAGGGATACTATCTTTTATTGCATCATCATACAATATTTCTCCCACAGGACTTAAACAAAGCTACAAAAGATACATTATTTGAAACTTTCCCAACAGCTTTTATAAATCATATCATTAGTTTAACCTTCAGTGTGTTTTCCTTACATCTTATGCATCATAGCATAAATGAGATTCAGAATAAGATATTCGGAAATGCCTGAAGAGTCCAAAAATTAAATTAATGAGAATAAAAAAACTTTGAATTGCTTAACAGAGCTCCCAGTATTTAGCATAAAATGTGAGCATCAATGTGATCTGCAAACTTCTTTAAATAATACTTTTAAAATAAGCATTACATTTCTTGCTTAAAAACACATACAGTTGAAGCAAGGGAACATTTCATTTGAAATCTGCCTACACTTCCTGTCAAATCTATCTTGCCTCAGCTAGGCTACACTGCATTTTTAAATACAATTTATAACCAAATTTCTATGCCTTCATTCATATCAAGTCTCCATATAGAGTCTCTCCATATAGGGTCTCATGTAAATAGAGCCCCTCAAGAAATAAGTTACTACAAAATATGAGAACAGACTGGCCTATTGTAAAGCAAAGTAATCAAACCATTAACAGAATAATAATATTACTTTGATACTCAAGATCATGATACCTTGCTTGCTTGTGTCTTAATAAAAGTGATTGTCATCTTTAAAGATGGTTTATTAGTGTGCTGAGTCAAGAATAACGAGTCATTTCATGATGTCAGGAGTATGACTTTTACTTTTAGCAACATCTATTTTGCATTGTATTTCAAACCTGTACTATTTATTCAAAGATAAAACTGCATTTTTACCAGTTTCTTTTAGTCACCTATTTTGGTTTTATTCCTGTTCAACTACACAGTGAATAGCAGCTAATGTGCCAATAATCCCATTCTTCACTAAATTTCATAAAACAAACTGGAAAGGCATGAAAATACACTTTAAAAATAATCTGAGTGGGGACAGGGGGTGGAGAAATCCTAATAGTCTTGGTATTGAGAGTTGAACTATATTAGGGTTTTTACACTTTGTAAGCATACCAGTCCTATTAATAAAATCCCATTCTTTCCACTGAAATGTATCAGCATAATTAATTTCAGCATAACCAAAGAAGTGCTAATCTTCAAGGTCACAGCCGGGAGGAAGCATGGAAATGCCACTGCAGCTTTTAAGGTGTAATAGCTGCTTGCATCTCCTCTTCACTAAGTTAAACATGTTTGAAAAGTAAACTTGAACAACATGTCTTACCGTCAGCTTTTCTTTTAAGGTCTCTTTTGCTGGGATTTCCTTTTCATGTTTCCCTAACTCCATGTCCCAGAAAAAAAGGCTCAGATGCTGGGTAGAAGAGATTTAATCTGACTACATGTTAGATGTCACTGTACGTTTCAAGTTGTGAGACAGAACTCTATCAGGCAGCACTGGTGATAATTTCTGGTTAGCTAGTGTTTCCATTTATAGCTGTACAAAATTCACAAATAGAACCCCAGCGAGAAGACAGACAGCTGGCCTCAGATAACAATAAATGTTGTTTTGGCATCAAAGTGAATGGTTTGACATGAGTACTGTTGTAACAGGGCACTAGTTATCTGGTCCCCAACAAAATAAACTTGTGCTTAAAGACTGCCTGAAAAGGACATGAAAATTAAGAGCTAAATCTTAGTAGAACTAATTCCTGTATGTAGAACTTACCAACTGAAATGATAGATATGATTAGCTTGTACTATATGATGTTACAGTAACTCTCAAAAAAACCAGAGCGACACTTGTGAAAGGACCCCTACGCTGAACTACTGAACTTTCCCAGATACCAGGGTCTAGTGTTAAACTTTCCCTTTATAATGTAATGTTATTGGATGCACATATTCTCTTTTTCTAATAATAGAACATGCTATATTAAACATCTTCTTGACCTTTTGACATGCAAAAATTAAAGCAGAAGTTTGTATCTGTACTACAAGTGTATCTGTATGAAATTCAGGAACAATCCAATAGGTATATATACTACACTTACAGGCTATTACTTTAGGGAGATGGATTGTGGGCTTTGCATGTTAGTTAACTATAGAAGAATAACCTGGCTCCAGTTCATGATGATAAAGTCAGGAGTCCAATATTAGAAACTGTGGTGGGAGGGAATTCTCTCTCTGGCTGTGCTGCAGAGTCCAAGGTTTACAACACATCCATTGGTTGCTACATCAACTAGGCCACTGTTAATGTCTTAGAAGAGATTCATGTGCAAGGTTTGCTCTGCAGTTGGCAGTAACTGATAGGGATAGTTCAGATAAAAACAGAG